CTATACAATGCAAAATCAACAATAGAACAAATCAATAAGGGAACATTGCAAGTGAAGCATAGCAAGCAAGCAAGCAATCTAAGTGTTATCCAAGTTCAAGACCAAGAGGACTTGTAGAAAGCTTTGGAATCTCACGTGGAGCAGAAGCTGATGAAGTCTCCGTGTGTTGGGTCTTAAGTAAAACTTGTGAAGTTTGATAATAGTAAAGTAAGACAAGATTAAATGGCACTAATCCTTTATTCCATTGACTAGGCCTTCCTTTTGAACTTCTCATCAATCTTCCCATAGGTCCCTCATAAATCTTCCCATTTATCTTTCTATAGATCTTCCCATTGGCAAATCTAGGCAGCCGCCATTGTGGACAAAATCCACCTAGTGACATGCAACAAATGGCAAGAGTAATTTTAGTCAAAGAACTTCAAATCTATATGTTATCGGTAGTCTTTTATTGAAATAATTAATGTATGCTAGTTTCTTTATTGCCCAACTGATTTTATCAAATGGAGCCTATTTTATAAGTTACAAGTAGGGTTATCTACATCACAACTTTACAAAGAATAAAAATAATTCATGTCCCCTTGATTTGTTTACTCTATCCTTTTTCATTGGCCCACAAGTTCCCAATATAATATTTCCTCTTGTATCTTTTGATTATTCATACATTATATTCCATTCAAAAGAGTCTTAGACTTTTGCTCCCTCATACTCGTTCAATTTTTCACCCTCAGAATACTTTAACCTGTGGTATTTATTTCTTCCTATGAGAGAACTCTTCAACCATGTAGATACAAAGACTTCTTGTGAAATCTTTTTTAACCCTACTTGTGCTCACATTCTCTTGGCTTTATGGCTTGATTTTGGAAGCATGATCATAACCTTACATTTTTACCCATATATCTCCAACCATTTGGGATATATTTTTTTGTTAAACCATGACAACTTGGACAAATCTTTTTAAAACAAGTTGGCCGACCTATTAGTTGTCTCGCTCTAACGCTTTACCATACCTTGTCCTCTAACTTGTTATTCTATCTCTCTTCTTTCTCAAATGCTTCATATGAGATTTTCTCATAACCATTGTATTCTTGGGCTTTTTATAGCAATTGCATTGATTGCTCAAGGCATTCCAACCACTATTAAGAAGAAGAGCCATTGCCTAAGCCCAAATTTATCATATCCTCCACAACAATCTCTTCTTAAACTAAAACCTTACGTGCAACTAAATCACATCTTACTTTATGCTTAGCAAGTTATTAGAGCCTCAATTATAATTGGAGTAAGGTTGCTATTTTACTGAGTGAATATGTATTCTTATATCTTTTATTGAGAGAACCCCTAGAAACTCCCATTGTAAAAGGAATGAACTCTTCAGGATGTGAAGAGTGGTGAAGTGCTGCTAGCTTGAGGGTGTCAAACAAGACAGTGGGTGTATTGTAATCTAAGAACTTCAGGTGGAAGTTCAAGTATAATGGTTTCGGGAAATCCTAGTTGAGGTGCTCGGTAGGTGGATGTAGCCAAATTAAGGGATTAACCACCTTATATATCTTGTGTATGCTCTTGGTGTTGATTACTCCATCTCTGTCTACTCTCAAAGGTTCCTTGAAACTTCTCTACTCTATTCTCAGATCTATCTCAGAGTAAATTGCTTATATCCTCAACTGAGACATTTCATACAACTTCCCATAAACCACTTCAAGAAAGACTTGTTCTGGGTCCTAAATATTTTCAAGAACCTCTTGAATCATCTATCCAGTTATCTTCACAAACAAGTTATCTTCAAAACATACCACTTCATGCTTTGCTTCACTAAAATCCACAAAAATCTCTATATTTCCTCAATAACGTTGTTCACTCCCCTATAGGGTTCTTATAACTTATCATCATGGGTAACCTGAAGTTACTGATTGTAGTTATATCGATAACCCTAGGAGTTGTTTGTCATCTAGGCTCCAAGGTCATCGTTGTAGTTACAATTTATAATCTCAGGGTCAGTACTCATGTACATAGACAGAGTCCACGGTCATTCTTGCAATTATAATTTATAATCTCAGGATTACTCATGTAAATAGACAAACTCAAGGGTAACCCGTATAACTACACTATATATTAATAGGACCACATTGTAATTAATATATATAAACATCATACTCCCTTTAAAAGTACGAGTTTGAGAATATCTTTCTATGGTTAATATTACCCTTCACTATTTTGAATATTTCATTTAGATCTTAATCTATCCTAATCATAATTATATTCTATCCTAATCCTACGTGAACTATCTATAGCTCAATAATTTAGAAAAGTAATATTAATAAAATATATAAAACATCTTTATAGTATTAGTTTGTTCAAATAAAGAAATTATATGTAGCTAACATGCTATAATACATGAAGTATTGCAACAAAACCCTATAAAGTTTTAAAATTGCACGAAATACTGTGAAAAGTTTAAAATTATAACAACCATCCTGATGTCTAAAAACTTAAAACAAACAATATAAAATTAAGAAATTAACAGTAGTTTTCAAAAAATTTAAAATTTATAGTTAACACATTTATGCCTCAAAAATTATAGAAACACCCTCAAAAGTTTAAATTACAAACAAGCACCCTGAAATTCTAAAATTTTAATACTTGTAAACAATATAGATGAATTCAAGTGAATACCATGATGTACCTAAAAATTTCTGACATTTTAAAACTTTAAAAAATAAATATAAAATCAATAAATTATCAGCAACCTCAAAAAAATTTAAAATTTCTAATTAACACCTTCAATGTCTTAAAAATTATAGAAACACCATAAAAATTCAAATTATAAAAAATCACCCTAAAATTCTAAAACTTTAAAATTTGCAAACAACAAAAGATAAATTCAAGATATTACCCTTAGGCGCCTAAAAATTTTTAATTATCAAAATTAACCTCAAAGTTACAAGAAGTTTATAAAAACTCCTTCAAAATTTAAAAATCGCAAAAAACTCTAAAATTTTAAAATTTCTAACCAGTGCAAATCAAATCTGGAAACTATTGGTAGACCGCTAAAATTTAAAATTTTCAAAAATTAACCTACAGTTTTAATAATTGTAAAAAGCATCCTCAAACTTTTAGAGTTATAAAAAATATCCTGACTTTAAAAATTATCATCGACACATGAAATATTGAAGTTACAACCACCAAAATTTTAAAAATTACAAATCACACCCTCAAAGCTCAAAACCACAAAAAAGGGCTGAAATTTTAAAACTTGACAAAGAAAATTTTAATTGTTTTGTATTTTTCATTAATATATATGATAATATATAATATTATATATTATATATATATATATATAATATATATATATATATATATATATATATATATATTCTAATTTAGGGTTTATTATCCCTTTTCAGCAATTAAAAATAGTCTAAGTTGATGGTAAACAAAAGCAATAAGAATTAATTAAAAACATCTTGTTAAGGAAAATTTTTTTAAAATATTATACTTAAAAATTATTATTACTATATAAATTAAAGTAACTGTATATAATTTTACTAATAAGTTTGGGCGGTAAAAATACATTAGTAATATTAATTGATAGATGTTTAAATCTATAAAATGATAAAAGACTATAATATAATAGCTTAGCATTAATTGATTATAATTTAGAAACATTAATCTCTGATGTTAATAGTATTTATAGGGTAAAAAATATAAGAAATTATATATAGAGAAACTATCAAAATGTTTAGAGATATTCTTCAAAAGAATGAATCTATTTCCATTGCAAATGGGAAAGTGACGGGAGTAAATCTAAAATTCTAAAAACGTATATGAATCACTTGAATTGGCATTAACAAAAGACATATCTATTAAAAAAGCATCGACCGAGTTACATTGAAGAGTAATTTAATAACTTTATCTTAATCAAAGAAAAATTCTCTATGGAAGACATAAAAAAAATTAGTATGTATTCATAAATCCCATACTTTGTTCTTCAAATACTAAATAAATTAAATATTAATATTATAATCTAAGGCGAATTAACAATGAAAAAACAGATATTTAGTTTAGATCTTTATAGAAAATGATAGGGATAGAGCAAATGTAATATTATTAACATAATAGAAACTCTTATTAAATGCACATCAGAAGAATTTATTGTAGAAAAAAAGAGGTAGCTCCTAATCTTATTTAAGTAATAAAATAGAAATACAAAGAGTTCCATATATAAAATTAACATTTATTCTTATTAAAAAAGAAGAAAATCAAAGTCTGTATTTTAAGAAGTTTGTGTTGAACATCGGAAATATATTTAAACTTCTTTGTTAAGTTAAACAAGAAGATAAAAAATTAACAAGCCTAGGAAAGATAGCAGCACAAAAAATACAACTCCGCTTGATGTCACAATCAATGTAGATGATGAAGATGCTACTTTAGAATTGCCCAGAAAAAATATAAAGGTGAAAAAAGATTGATCTTAGCCCAATAAAAAAATAAAACAGAAATAATAAAAGACAATATTTTTTGAATATTTTATAGAATAGTTTAATTATTTTGAGTGAAATTAGGAATCTTTAGAATAAAGTTTCATGAACTTTTTTCAGTACTTTTATATGCTTATATGGATGCTTTTATCATATAAAAATATACTAGAGTTAGCATTAATATTTAGTTTATAATTTTTTATGATGTCGATCAATAATTAGGAACAAACTTCATATTCTTTTTCGTATCATTTTAGAATACTTTTAATCAATCATTTTGCCTTATTGGTTTCAAATATGGAAAAATTGCTTCAAGGCCCCAAAAACTAAAACATGATGTGTCCTAGCCCCCTGAACTTTTTCTAATGTGGTTTAGCTCAAAAAATGAAAAATCCATGTGAATCAGTCCTATTTATAATTTCCAAGACAAAAAATCCCCAGACTACCCTCTTCTTCTTCTCCAGAACTTCTCTAGATCTGCTCCTTCTCTTCCTACAAACTCATCTCCTCTTCCACCCTCTCTCTAACCTCACTCGAAACCTCCAACACCGCTGCTACCTCCGTCACCCCTGTCTCTACTTCGCCAGGAGGTTCTGCAAGAACGACAATAGTTGCAGGTTCCTCCACGACCTCAACGAGGACAAGCTTGACGCCGCTCGCTGCCGCCGCCGCCACCAGGTTTCCGTACCCCCTCGGGAAACTTGCTGATGTCCCCATTGTTTCCTATGAACCAGAGGTAGGTGAACGGCGGCTGACCGAGTTCTTTTCTTAGGCTTTCGACGGTGGGTTCCGTGGATTTTGATGACTCGTTTTGATTTCAGGGCGGCTGCGACGGCGGAGCTGATGCTCGTCGGAGATGAGAGCAAGTTCATGGGCCGATCGAGGATCGACCGGAGTGAGTTTGCTGGGATGGTGAACCCTACGTCGAGACAGATTTATCTCACTTTTCTTGCTGATAACACTTTCAGAGAAGAGGATGTATCCAATTATTTTAGGTTATGGGAAATTTTCTTTTTAAACTTTTTGATGGTTTGATAATTGTTGTTTGGGGTTAAAACTGATTTGGGTTCGTGTTATTTTCTGTAGTATTTATGGGCCAGTTCAAGATGTGAGGATCTCTTATCAGCAAAAGAGAATGTTTGCGTTTGTGACTTTTGTGTATCTTAAGACTGTGAAGTTGATCTCCCAACAAATTTTTCAGAGTGAGAATCCTTAAAGCTGCTGCATATGATACTCCCCTAATCTCAACATGTTGGGTCTTTGATGTATATCAAAATCAAGAAAGAAGTAATAAACTCAGGGTGTGATATATATAAATGTTGTACAAATTTATGATGGTGATTTCTTGTATCTGCTGTTGTTTGTTGTCATGTAAGCTCCAGTTGAATTGGGAAGGAGTTTGATGTTGTTCTCTGTGCGGTCTTTAACATGTGAACATGGTTCAAGTTCATATAGTTAATATTTTTAACCATAATATTTAGCATATTAACTGTTGTGGTTAGCATGTTAACTCTTGTGTTTAACATGTTAACTCTTGTGAATAACATGTTAACTCTTGTGGATAACATATCAACTCTTGTAGATAACATGTTAACTTTTGTGGATAACATGTCAACTCTTGTTATTTCAGTTAATGGATAATGGATCAATTTACCAATTAAAGTTAACTGTTATTTCAGTTAACTTTAATTGGTAAATTGATAATTATATTTAGTAAACTGTTAACTATAATTCATTATCCGTTAATTATTATTTGTAATCCATTATCCGTTAACTGTTATTTCAGGTCATATACACGTTAATATAGTTCTCATTTAACATGCTAACTATAATACGTAGCATGTTAACCTTAATTGGTAAATTGATAACTATATTCAGTAAACTGTTAACTATAATCCATTATATGTTAACTGTTATTTATAATTTGTTAACTATTAATTATTATTTGCTAACTGTTATTTATAAACTGTTAACTATAATGAATTATCTGTTAACTGTTATTCGTGAACTATCTGTTAACTATAATTCATGTTTGCTACAAGAGTTAACATGTTAGCCACAAGAGTTAACATGTTATCCACAAGAGTTAACATGTTAGCCATAAGAGTTAACAAATTAGCCACAACAGTTAACATGTTATCCACAAGAATTAACATGTTAGCCACAAGAGTTAACATGTTATCCATAAGAGTTAACATGTTAACTATAATAAGAGTTAACATATAGCCACAAAAGTTAACATGTTATCAACAAGAGTTGACATGTTATCCACAAAAGTTAACATGTTATCCATAAGAGTTAACATATAGCCACAAGAGTTAACATGTTATCCATAGGAGTTAACATGTTAAACACAAGAGTTAACATGCTAACCACAACAATTAACATGCTAAATATTATGGTTAAAATATTAACTATATGAACTTGAACCATGTTCACATGTTAAAGACCGTTCTTCCTTAATATCTTAATTTTGTATAACAGCATTCAAAACTGACCTGTAATATGTATTTATGTTTTGTTATTTGTAGCTATGACTGTGGGATATACGTTTACATGTAATGGGTAAAACTTAACAACTAATTAAAAAAACTTAACATTTAAAATGAAAAAGTTAACACTTACTCCATTATACTTAACATGGAACATATAAACGTTAACAGTTAATTTGCTATAGTTCACTTGTATTGGGTAAAACTTAACATTTATACATCCATTATTTTAAATGAATATTTTTGTATGTATGTTTTTATTCCTCAATTATCAACCATCATGTACAAACTGCATATAATTTTCAAGCCAACAAAAATTGCCTATGTATATAAACTACATATAATTTGTACATTATGTGTATAATAAACTGCACGACAAATAACACCACTTACTAACAACAATGACCACAATGCATTCCCAAAATCCCACCATACAATTTGCAATATCAACAACAATCAAACTGCACAGAGAACAACATCAAACTCCTTCCCAGTTCAACTGGAGCTTACATGACAACAAACAACAGCAGACTCACTCCGGTCGATCCTCGATCGGCCCATGAACCTGCTCTCATCTTCGGCGAGCATCAACTCCGCCGTCGCAGTCGCAGCCGCCCTGAAATCAAAACGAGTCATCAAAATCCACGGAACCCACCGTCGAAAGCCTAAGAAAAGAACTCGGTCAGCCGCCGTTCACCTACCTCTGGTTCATGAGCGATAACGGGGACATCAGCAAGCTGCCCGAGGGGGTACAGAAACCTGACGATGGCGACGGCGACGAGGCCATGGCGGCGTCGAGCTTGTCCTCGTTGAGGTCGTGGAGGAACCTGCAGCTGTTGCCGTTCTTGCAGAACCCCCTGGCGAAGTAGAGACAATGACGGAGGTAGTGGCGGTGTTGGAGGTTTCGAGTAAGGTTAGAGAGAGGGTGGAAGAGGAGATGTGTTTGTAGGAAGAGAAGGAGCAGATCTAGAGAAGTTCCGAAGAAGAAGAAGAGGGTAGTCTGAGGATTTTTTACCTTGGAAATTGTAAATAGGGCTGATTCACATGGATTTTTTATTTTTTTTGAGCTAAACCACATTAGAAAAAGTTCAAGGGGCTAGGACACATCATGTTTTCGTTCTTGGGGCCTTGAAGCAATTTTTCCTTTAAATATTCGCATTCATTGTATAACACTATTTTAATATTTTTTACTTTTGCAACACTATACTTTCTCAAGTAAAGCTCGGTTTCATGTCAGACAAAATAATATGAAAATTCAAATTAGCTTCAAATTATATTTGTTTTTTGTTACCTCAAATATCAACATGAAAATTTAAATTGTATGTGTCTCATTTAAACGGACATTAAAGAAAACAAATAACCGCAATATTAAAGTTTAGAGATGAAAGTGAACATAAACTACTAAAAGTGGAACCGAGGAACAAATTTTAGTTAGAAAATAAGTAAAAAAAATTTAATCATGATATTTAACCACGTACATTGCACGTGTATTTAACCATGTACATATAGAAAACCTAGCATGACAAAAATCGACGAAAAGCGTTAAAAGTAATTATCAACAAAAATTGACGAAAAGTGTTAAAGAGTAATTACCAATTCAATTAGGATTTTATACATGACCTACCTTTCGATCAACACGGTCACCCAGTAAACCATCGATTCAGCTAAACCTATAGGGTCCAACTATTCACACTCTCAAACAGTAACTTTGGGGGTGTGTGAGGACTAAATTGCTCTTCTCCCAAACCAAAACAAGCCAAGTTCATTCCAGAAACACCTTCAACATCAAAAAAGCATTTTCGGCAATCCAACTCCCAAAATTACTGTTTGGGAGTGGATACAGCAAACATGGTATAGCAGGGAAAAGACCGAATTCTCTCCCGAAGAGGAGGGAGAGAGATGAGTAGTTTTGGGGGACGCGAGCAGTGGAGATCGTGGGGAGGAACAACTCTCCTTGGCTTTTATGGAAGAAGATAAAGCTGATCACCACCCGCGGGGACAATGCCAAGAGGCGCCTCCGCCGTGTTCGGCAGGTACTCTCAATTCATTATTTCAATCTAGGGTTTAGGGTTTAGGATTAGGGTTTCATCACTTCTTGATCTCTAATTGTTCGAATTTGTTGGAAACCCTAGTTGCCCGGAACCATGTTAAACTGAGAAGGGGGAGGAAAAAAAAAACACTTCCTGTTTATATATTTTTTTTCATTTGCTTTTCATACTTCATAAATGTGAGAGCAAATGGACCCTAAAATACCGCAATGCTTCCACAATCTTATCGCCCATGCGGACTGGCTTTGCACTAGTCCAGTCCTAGTCGAACATTGAAATCCCGATGTCGCCATTCGGCCTTGCACTGGAGCTGTCCCGAGTGAACACTGCAATGTCATCATTACGGCCTCGCGCCGGTCACTTACAGCTGAGATGGCAGGGAGTTGGCTCTGATAACATTTGTAAGAGGCCGAAGAGAACTCACTTGAGCTAGCTGTTAGGGGGAACGGACCTAAAGCTCTTATGAATTTACAATTGACTGCCTATTTAATAAATTTGAGAATAATCTAGAGGGAGGAATCCAAATCTCTTATGAATTTACAATTGACCGTCCATTAGTAAATGTGAAACTAAATGTACCCTAACATACAAGTTGCAAGTGGACTATGGTGGAAAGTTATTTGTGAAATTATGTAGATTTAATTATTATGAAGCCGGTGAAGATCAGCCGTGGCTTTAGTTTACTTGGAATGAAGAAAGAATACTTGCCGTTTTAGTATCTCAAAGAATAATTGCCCTTTTTGTATTAAAAGAATATTTGTCCTAAATGAATGTCCCATAACATTTCATCATTTGTCAGCTCTACAGGATACCTGATCCTTATCCCAAATGAAGCATATCAACACTTTTGCCCTTCTGTTTACTCTGTCCTAATCTTCATATAAAACTGCAACGAGTATATAATAGAAAAAAACAAATTAATTTTAGACCATCCTTTACTAACATCTGAGATCTACTGACTTTCCATGAACATTCTGCAAAACTGTGTTGTTTTTCATCGGTAATCCTATAGGCTGGTCTGGTCTGAGGTTCGTTGGAAAAGAGTTGCCGAACCTCGTAGCTGAGAGCTATTTCAGGAAGTGTCAAAAATCCTCTTTGAACAAAAAGAATAGATGGATTTGACATATCTTTTGTCTGATGGTAGAGCTTGATTGGATTCTACCACTTACCCATGGAATTAGCTTTAGAATGGCTGTTGGAATCTTACAAGACAAAATGCTTGCTTAACTGCAAGTATTAAAAACATTTGTCTTTCTAATCTTTAACAAATTTTATAGGACAATTGAGTGTTTGGCCAATATTCACTTCCTTCTGTTCGAAGATTAAATTCTCAAAACACATTGGATCTTTCAAGGCGAATGAAATTTGGAAAATGAGTGATTAAATTTGACACTACGTTAATGTTGACACTACAACAGAGAATAAGTGAGAACTCAAAGTTATTATCACGCATACTAATGATGAGGATGTTGCCTTCTCATCCCATTGGTTTACCCTCCTTTTTTTTTTCCAAACCATATTGATTTCTGATCCCATAACGGTCTTGTTGGTGCCTGATCATCCTGAGGCGACCAATTATTTTCCACTCTTAACCTGCCAACCTGCTAGTCAGGTATCTGCTGTTAGTGACAAAACATAATTTTCTCTCACTATTCCTTGTCGATTTCCCTTTTCGTTCAGCGTCCCATCTTCTATCCTCTCCCTTCAAGCTCTTTCTCTTTCGAGCCTATTCCATTATTCTTGTGTTCCTTTTTTTTTTTGGCTTTTCTCTTATCCATGAACGTTTGCCTCTTCCAATTTGTCTTTCTTCTCATCCACCTTCCACCAGCTCATACTTCTTCTGTTCTCCACATCAATTTTCATTTCCTAGGATCTTTTCTTCTCTTAAGATACTCATTCTAATTCAATAATGGGAGTGCTTTCCCTTTTTTGTTTATTTTGTCAATTATTTATATCTTGATTTATAACCTATCCAGTGCATTAAATTGGATGCTCAATGTAACTTGGGCAACATTAACACTTTGATGTCTTGTCACCTTTAATCTCTCACCTTTATTGTAAAGGTGTTGTTGGTGAGTGATAACGTAATAACATTGTTCATAAAGTGGTAAGTATTGCATCATTCATGATGTGAATGACATGCATCACAGTGAACGAGGAACTTATAATAGGTCTTCAATAAACCCCTTTTTCGATCATGCTCACAGGTGGATGGTTGTGCTTCCCTTTGGAAAAGATGTCATCCCTCAAGTCTTTTATTAGCCAATTAGAATTTTGGAGGTTTTTCAGTTACTTATAGCTTAAATTGCATAGGTCTTTTAGTATAAGGAGAATTATGAGGTCCCCCGCCTGCTGAGATAAGTTTTAAAAAAGACTTCCAATCTTACTAAAATAAGTGTATTAAGAGTAGACCTGGTTGGACAAATTCAGCTTCTATTATCCTCGCTTGCTGACTGTTCATATGCACATGTTTGAGTTCAGCTTTCTATGATGGTCATGGTATGATATTACAAGTTGGGAATCCTAAGTCTGAATTTGTTCATCGGGCTTTTAAATTATTTCTTGTCTAGTATTTCACTTTGCTCAATGGCCTAAATGAACTAAGCGTGAGAAAGATTTAAAGGTGCTAAAATAAACGAATCAGGATTGAGTGAAGCTGGACTCAGCTCAGCTTGTAATTCATGCTCAGCTTACTATTGTCCTGTTTTTGCTTGGCTCATGTTTAAGTTCAGCTAGCAAAGGCCTGAAAGAGTGCAACCCTTAATTGGAGGTTGGATAGGGGAAGAGATAGAAAAGTAGAATACTTCCTCTCAATCTTGCATCTCTTTGCTTTCTTAACTTGCTTTATCTTAGTTATGTGTATATTTTTAAGTGTGTTGGCTACTAGTTGTCTGGACAAGCTGAAGGTTGAGTTGAGGCTCATGTATTATTCTAAGTGGACTTGACCAAAATTTTAAGCTTATTCAAATAATTGAACGAGAATGAACATCCTCGAGTTTTGTTTCTTCACCTCATTTATCAGCCTTGTTTATTAACTCAGGTCCTTAATTGTCACGACTCACGTCATTCTGGAATTATTAGAAAGTGCAAGTTTCTATTATATGTTTCTTTCACATATTTATTCTCCTATTTATATGTTACATATTGGCTATAAGTTTAGTACCACCTTTGTAATTTTTTTTAAAAATTTGACACTTATATTTTGCATGCACATTCATGGAACTCAAGCAAAGCTTGTAATCTTGTATATTTTGTCTGGTGGATTTGATTTAGACATACATCAGCTATCTGCTGCGCATTCATAACCTGACCTCAATACGGCATAACAGTCTCTAAATCAGAGAGGAAATTCTAAATCACTGTTCTTTTCTCATGCTATGGGTGATCTTGCTGCAGAATGAGGCAGTTTTGAGGGCTTGTGCGGAACCACCACCACCGAAAACTTCGTTAAACAATGCTCCAGCATCTTGAATTGAACGGAAGGGGATTGATAGTTAGCAAACCAAAGGTGCTGGATTACTTGAACAATGGTCTCCTGGGTTTTTTTGAATTCCTCATCTCCTGCACAAATGAAATAGATATGGTACATTAGTTTGACATTCTTATCAATTCATGGATGATTTAGCATATGCCTTTTCTCTGTTACTGTTACTGTTACTGTTTTGCTTTTCATTGCGATTAATACAAAGCTCTAGCACTGTGACATATTTTAACAATGTTTTGATATCACTTCTCATTTCACTAGTATAGTGCACATACGTTGCACATGTATGTACTTAAATATTAGCACTACATAAAAGTTGTATATGTCCACACTTATTTTATAATACATATAAAATTATCATTTTATTTACAAAGAATTAAACAATAGTGACAAATAAAAAGTGTGGCAAATCACGACACATATTTGTGTCATTAGATATACAATCTACTCCTCTATACAAATGAGAGAACCCAAGATTCATTATTCATGCTACAGTAATACTACAGTAATATTTACTATAGCAACATTGAACAACAACAACAAGCAATGGTGCCGCCGCCTCGTCCACAGACTCCTTGGCCTCGTAGGCAAGATCTCACCTCTCAATTAGAGTTTTTATACCTATTATTAATTAAGTACATAGAATAGATATGATATAACGTGTATATTGTGATTATGGGTGTCTATGCGTTTGATGAATAGTATTAGATAATATTTATATAATAATAATGAGATGATTTCTGCTGTAAATTTATCTATGAATTAATGAACATGAAATGTCAAGTTTATATGTTAAAGTAGATTTTATGAGATATTATCGAGAAAAGAAATAAAATATATATAATTTATAAACATAGAAATGTTAAAGATTATTTTAAAATAGTTATGATGAGAAATAATTTTTAAAGAAATTTATTTTGGAAAAAGAATATTTCTTTTTGAATTAATTATGATCGTATCACTGATAGCCGTAGAGCGCGATATTTCATGTGCAAAACGATCACGGTTTTTAGTTTACTTTTATCCTATTATTATGTTAGAGATTACCTAATTACTAATAGCTTGCATGAGAGGTTTGGACACCCAAGTAGTAAGATATTAATGAGATCTGATTACATGTGTATTCATGTTGTTGTAGGCACTGTTCATACTTTTGTATTGTTCGTAGTTACTATTCATGTCTTACGATCTTTATTTCAATATATTCGATGTGCCATGATGTTGTTGCGTATAATTAGTTTTATTTATTATCTCCTTGTTGTAATGTTTTAAATGTCGGGTTCATGTCGGTCGGTCAAAATTCATGTCGGATAGCTGAAATCGGGGATATATCGGGGGACTTAAAAAAATATCAGATTGTCATATCGGATAGGTTGATATAATATCATAAATAGAATCTTCACATGCTTGATAATTATATTATCTAAACATATGAACAAAGGAGCAAGCATCATAACATCACTATCTTTGCCTCTAATCCCTTGTTTCCAAAGCTTAATTTGCTCCAAAACTTTCTTATAAACGCAAATCTCAGTGCAAAAAGAACAACAATAGATAATCTCAGTGCAAAAAAAAGAAGGGAAAACAAATAGATAATCTCAGTGCAAAAAAGAAGGGAAAACAATAGATAATCAATGAAAAAAGTAGTAGATAATGATCGGCGGCAAAAAGAACAACAATAGATAATCTCAGTGCAAAAAAAAAGATGGGAAACAAATTATTTTCAAAAAAAAAAAAGAAACAAGAAAAATAACTGAGTTTAAGGAGTCGGTCGGCGGCGGATCCGGAGGCGAAGGAGT